AACTCCATGACTGCAGTTGCTTGGTCTTATATAGTACCAGTAAGTAATAATTCTAATCTAAAGAATTTCTACAGTGGAATTGATAGTAACTTTATGCGTCAACTAGCTTATCTAACATTCTGTTGCTTATCTCAGCATTACTTCGTGTTGCGTCTTATTCAGTGTATTGATGACTCAAATACGTTTTGTATAACACAAAAAAATGTAATTTAATATTTAGAAATCACTATAATTGATCATTTCTATGTTAGTCATTGAGTAGATTGTACTGTAATAATCTACTAATAGCAGTAATATCATGGATACACTAGATGTACAACAACATCTGAAAAAGATTCACCCCAGTCTAGAAAATAATGTTTATGATGCTAATAGACTGTCCATGTACACCCACGTACCAACGTATATACCTAGTCAGGTCATAAGTATTGTCACACAGTAAAAACTTTTCTTTTAGAATGCTGGCCACAAAAAAGTTTATTGAATTCGAATTGTTCATGAAAATAAAACTGTATACTTTTTAGAATTTTACTCATTTTTAAATATGGAGTGGACGCTTAAAGAAGACCGTGTTGCAGTTATTGCGTTGCATCGTTGCGGTTACGCGCCAATTCAAATTTTTGACATACTGAAAAATTTGAATATAACCAAAAGATTCGTTTATCGTACCATCAAACGATACAATGAAGACTCTAGTGTAGATGACAGGTCAAGAAGTGGTCGCCCTCGGTCTGTTAGGACTCCAGCAGTGATAAAAGCTGTGAAGGCGCGAATTCAAAGAAATCCCAAACCTAAGCAGAAACTGTTGGCCCTTCAGATGGGGTTAAGCAGAACCACGGTGAAAAGGGTGTTAAATGAAGACTTAGGGCTTCGGGCATATGGAAGAAAAACAGGACATCGTTTGAATGCTCGTCTAATGGACCTGAGACTGAAAAGATGCCGCGCTTTATTGAAGCGGTACGCGGGAAAAAAATATCGGGAAATTCTTTTTTCGGATGAAAAATTTTTTACCGTAGAAGAGAGCTACAACAAACAAAATGATAAGGTGTACGCACACAGTAGTGAAGAAGCGAGCAACCGTATTCCGCGTGTCCAACGAGGTCATTTTCCATCCTCGCTCATGGTATGGTTGGGAGTTTCTTATTGGGGCTTAACAGAGGTACATTTTTGTGAGAAAGGTGTAAAAACGAATGCAGTTGTTTATCAAAATACAGTCCTGACAAACCTTGTGTAACCTGTTTCTCATACCATGTTCAATAACAGGCACTGGGTATTCCAACAAGATTCGGCGTCAGCTCATAGAGCGAAGAGCACACAAGACTGGCTGGCGGCGCGTGAAATCGACTTCATCCGGCACGAAGACTGGCCCTCCTCCAGTCCAGATCCGTTGAATCCGTTAGATTACAAGATATGGCAACACTTGGAGGAAAAGGCGTGCTCAAAGCCTCATCCCAATTTGGAGTCACTCAAGGCATCCTTGATTAAGGCAGCCGCCGATATTGACATGGACCTCGTTCGTGCTGCGATAGACGACTGGCCGCGCAGATTGAAGGCCCGTATTCAAAATCACGGAGGTCATTTTAAATAAACTATAGTGTCATAAGAATCTATGTTTTATTAAATTCATTTTGGTATATAAATGGTTACATAATGAATAAACTTGTTTGTTATTTTATATTAAACATGTGATAGAATTTATGACCTGACTAGGTAATATGCAATTTGGGTACAGATGATAAACCAGGGTCACATTGGGTAGCTTTATATATCGATACGAATGACGTCGGTCAATATTTTGATTTATATGGACGAGCACCTGTACGATATCATCTCGAGTTTTTAAAAAGGAATTGTAAAAGATGGAACTGGAATGTTGATAGGATTCAGAATGAGTGGACTTCAGTTTGTGGCGAATATTGCTTAATGTATTTGCTATATAAGTTTCAGGGATGTTCAATGCATAGTTTTACAAGTATATTTACAGGGAACACATTGTACAAGGATATTTTAGTGGATGAGATTATTTTATTGATAATAAGTAATAAGATTTTGTATTTTATAAATAAAAATTTTAACAAAATTAGGTAATGTGTGTAATAAAAAAGGAGTATAATACATAACCACCTAATAGATAATACGTATTCAATAACGTTTTATTGTTGATTCAGATTAGTGTTGTAGATAGGAACAAAAGAGTACTACTACTACCGTTTTCGACATCAATGTGATCAATCATTTTGAATGTCGTGGCTTAAATAACGGTTTGCAAGTTTTATGTCAATTTTGATACCAATTTAAATAAGTCAATGAAGTTACCAGAATTCCTAGTACCGTCGTCTGTCTCGATAGATTCTGTGTGACCTTTAAATGCGAGATTATGAGAAGCTAAGAAATTAATAATATCAATTAATCTCTCAAACAAATTGTACAATGTTTTTGAGATTCTTGAATTTACCTCTCGTTTTCTTGATCCATCGTTTTTTCATGTTTAATTCCTTTATCTAATGTACATGACTACCATATTATGTTCTATGGTATTCTCGTGTCTGCAAAATACTACTTAAATATTTCCAGTTACAACATCCTCCCTGTACCGTGTGTGCGAAACAAACATATTTTTATTTGATAATCAAATATGGTTGAGTTTAAAAAAATAATTTATAAATTTTTTTCCTTCTCTGAATTCTCGGTTATTAAATTTTATCGTTGAAAATATCCTGAATCGCGTGAATAATTTTAATAAATAATCATGAGGAAAACAGGAGCAAAGAAGAGGAAAATCAATGTTTTGTAAAATTTGCAAGAAACTGATGCCAGGCCGATTCATTAAGACGTTGCCAAAATTATTTAAGAAAGTTCTTTCTAATTCTTCAATATAATTATTTAATGTTTCTGGTGGGACTTTTAGCCTACCATAAAAAGATGAATCTTTATTAAAGGATTTGAAATGAGCATACAGTGTTGTTTCGTCAACGTTAGGTTTCTCATGTTACAAAGCATTGAAGCTAGTGCAGTTATGTTTTTTCAAAAGTTTAAGTTTTAGTCAAAAAGTTTTTTTGCTACACATATATTGTAATAAATAAACTTTTTGACTTTGGCACCCATCCACTGCACGATAATTACGTGGCAAAGATATTTTATAGGTCCTAGAAAACATCTTTGTTACGTGGTTTCGGCATTTCGACGAGTAAGCGCGGGAAACGTGCGTGGTGCGAGCGCTCGGGCAGGCGGGCGTGCGGCAGCGGCAGCCCAATGTAGGTTGTATCGTGGGCGATATGCAGAGCGGTAGGCATATAACGCGTAGCCTAGAGCGAGTGACGGGGGCCTGGTTCCGGCGAGTTTACAGTCCATAGTCAGTGGCGAAGCTAGAGCTCCAAGCTAGGGCAAGCCCAAGATATAAATTGATAAAAATACAGATTGTTGTTTTTAGCAGTTTTATAAAAATACACCAATCTTGATCTGTCTCCATGCTTCAGTTTCATATTCAGGGTTTGTTTAAGCGTAAGAAAAAAATATTTACATCCAATACAATACATGAACAAAAATAAAACACGAACAAAGTACAAACAAACTATGTACAAAATTAAAAAAAAAATTATTTACATTCTAAAGGATAGATAAGATAAGTGGAATCGTCTCGCTTTCTTATGGAAATATTTAATTACGTCCACGTAAAATGAATTGCGTGAACGTTTTAATTGTACCAATAACTGTTTTTAATTGCGATAATTGATAAGTCTGAAATACACTCTTAACCTTGTGTATTATCTCAACAAACTTTAAAGATTTCCACTCCGATTATCACTTTAACACACTTCAATTCATCACAAGGAACACTATTATCCTCCATTTTCATTAAAAATCTTTAAAAAAGCATAAATTTGAACTCGTAATATTAAATCGCTTAAGATAAGCACACAGAGTAAATAAACATTGAAACGTGAAATGAACTTGCAAACGTATTCCCCGCGCGCCTCCGCTTTTAACAAATTTATTCCCAAAAGCCTGGCTTTAAATTTCTATACTAATTGCTATATATACAATCGTAGTTATATTTCATTATAGAATATTTTGCCATAGGTTAGAAAGAGAGCGATCGTCTTCTCGAAAGTCCCGTAAAAAGCCCACGCGAGCGAGGGAGACAACTATTAGCTCTATTAAAACTCATTTTTTATGACAGCAGCAGTATCGCTAAGGCAATACGAGGTCATCGGTCGACATGTGTCGAACAGTGGAGTGCGCGGGAAATTTGAAATAGCTTGAAACATTTTACGAGTTATTTTATTAGTTGATATTATTGATTGATTCAGGTTTAATAAGGCAAGCCCTGCTTTTCGGCTTTAATGGAAGCTTCGCCACTGTCCATAGTATAAGACCTCCGTGCACAATCCACTTATCTTCATATTCATTATTTAAATTATCGTGACCACGTACAAAGTCAACATTTGAACGTCCATCTGTTATTCTGAAACCAGTTTTTTTTCAAAGTAGCAATATAAAATGATTTTTTGAAAATATAAAATGGATTAATTAGAGTGTTTTCTTTATATAATATATAATATAAGTATATTATCGTATAAGTGTTGTATGGTTATGACAGAAGCATTTTAAGAACACTAAATTGCTTGATCTTAACTTGTCGAGAGTAAAGCACTACCCAATATCGCTTTGAGTTATGAAGTATGCAAAATTGTAATGTCTGTCTGCAAAATTGTAATAATGATATTATACATATAGAAGCACTAAAGTCGCGTGACCGTCACGCTGAGACATTATATATATTCACGCGACTTTGGTGCTTTTTTCTCATCCCAAAAGTGTCCAACGTGCCTGAGGAAATTTTCACTTCAAAAATAAATATCTAATTTAAGGAACTATTTTATAACATCGCATCGCAAAAAAAAAAACGAAATGCGATTATTCGTTTCAATTTTTGCAACATTATTTGGTTTTAATTTCAGTATGCGTGGTCTTCAACTGAGCTCGAGGTGGAGAGCACTATGGATTTAGAAATGTACGTGACCAATGTGACGCAGCCCGTCCCCGATCCGGCGCTCACGTACATGTAAGTAGGTGCGAGCTCGTGAGGTACTACTTTCGCAGATAAAAAATGGGATATTAAATGGTGTCTCATGTAGTTACTTCTTAGTTTCAATTTCTCACTCTCACTATAAGTGGTAAAGCTTAAATGAATTTTAATAAGCATTACTGTAATTTATATTGAATAAAAATGATTCTGTTGTATTGTACTATTCTGTTGCGGCAGCCCGCCGGCGGAGGGAGCGGGCGCAGTGCGGCCGGGCCGCCAGCCCGTGGGCACCGTCGTGTACGCGCCGGAGAAGCTGTGCGCGCCGCACTGCTACACCGGCCTCGACATCGATTCACCGGGTATGTTCTTCTCGCCTGGCTATGTTTTATATCTGCGTTAAATGTTTTCTGTTTATCACTACTTTTCACATTAAAACCTGTGATAACACAAATATACGGGGGATTCGTTTTGTTTACGAATAACACCAGGCCGACGCTGAGACGTGAATCTTTCTTTTTTACATTGGCAATTTAGTTTAATGTAAGTTTATAGTAAATGTATGATTGTTGTGTGCGCAGAGGGCGTGTTGTGGATGTCGCGGGGCAGCGCCAATACTGTGGAGTCGCTGGAGGCCGACGCGTCGCTGCTGCGCATGCGCTTCGGCCGCTTCCTGCGCCTGCCGCCCGCGCGCAACCTCACGCTGCACCTGCACACCACGCAGGCGAGCACGCACGCACACACACACACGCACATTGTTTTTAACGTTAATAAAATACTATAAAATTAATTCTATCAACTTTAACTTATCTGTATACCAATCGTCTTCGTTTTTATAGTTTTTTAGAACTCTTAATTGGGACAATTGAGCGCGAATCCAAAATTAAAATACGAAAAGTTAAAGAGCAAACCACAGACATTGTTTTGTGAACACACTTTATAAACCGGCGAAGTTTTATTTAAAAGGCAATTTCTCGATTATAATAAAACTGTAACAAATAAGTTGAAACACGAGTCACAACAAGGTATATATGGTAAGCGTGAAATGAGGATAATCATTTTGCGCTCACCACATCACACTGTGGATCTTAATGTTCAGTAGGTAGGCAGTCAGTAGCTTACACATCCTGGATTGCATGTGGCGTGTGTTCGAGGTAGCGCGTGTTGGTGTGCAGGTGCTGCAGACGGCGGTGAGTGGCGCGGCGCGGCTGCGCTGGCCGCGGCTGTCGGGGGCCGGGCGCCGCGAGGCCGGCGAGCCCAGCCAGCCCGGCGAGCCCACCGCCGTGGGTGCGGTGCGCCGGCTGCGCGTGCTGGCGCGCAACCCGTCGCATTCTCACGCACTGCTGCTGCAGCCTGTGCTCCAGCACGACCTGCACCTGCCGCCCGAGTGCGTACACTGACACCCCGCACTATATCATACAACCCCTACCCACCCACGTTATCCTACCAACCTAGAACACCTTTATACGACTATGTTTAACTAGGCAGAGCTGCAGCGATACTACGACTCTGCTTGTACCACGAATGACTCGCTTCGACCGGGGAAAAACCACGCTCTCACAGAATACCAGCCTAAAATGACAGATTAATGCTACTGTGTTCCGCATGGTGAGTGTAGAAAACCGTGTGTGACCGAAAACCCTTATTTATTGGATACGAGGAATGCCTTAATCATCAAGGCCAGCATCTGCGTGTAGATAATCTTGGACCTCAACATCCACTTACTATCAAGTGAACTGTACGCTAGTTCGTCACCCTTATTATATAAGAAAAAATAATACAAGGCTCGCATGTGCACTTCTCACTCTATTTGCATGATATCATTTGACAATGCCTTAACATATTGCCAACGGGTTGAACTTTTACTAAATATCTGTATTATTTAATAGAGTAATTTAAAAAAATGTATTTATTTTTATTTGTAAAAATCACTACTACTTAAAACTTTTTCAGAACATATCTATGACTGTGGAAATCTAAGAGTATATGTACTTATTACACCAGTGGTATGATAAGAGACATATACCATTAGAAGTGAATTCTGTGGATAAATTCGCGGCTAATAATAACTATATCACAACATTTAGTCAATATCGTGATTTCAATCTCCGTTTGCAGCAATGAATTGCTGATTTACCACGTAGTCAATGGTAAAAGAAAACGTAGAATTCTACTCATTTAAAACTAAAATATTTTTATCATGAATCGCGGCGGTCACATCCTTGCCCAAAATTCTCAGAATAGAAACAATGTATTCTGAATAGGCTGATAGTTCTCGTGTAGTATAGGTGTAGCCCACACGATATATTACTATTCAGGGCTATTTTGCTATATACGGCCAAATTTTCAGAGAAGGTTCAGAATAAGTAAGTAATATTGGCAAATGGTGAAAAATATAACTAAATAAATCTCAAACATTTTATTCTTTTTAATTTTAAATTCAGAATGCGTGGTGATGCATTGTTTTAAATGATTGTCATTTATAATTCTTTTTCTCATTTTCATATATTTTTATATAGTTATTTGTTATTTATCCATATATATTTTTGGGCAATAAATACTATCACAATAGTGATCTTAATTATATCAAAGTGAGTGTTTCCTGTCAATATACCTACATAAATGTATGCTCCTATTTTTGGCCGTATACTTTGATAATAAATTATGTTTATTTAATTTCATGTACACGAAAAACTTCAAATTTTGTCTTTGCACATTTTAAAATTTTTAGGTTCACTGAATATTTTGTCATGACATTAATAATCTACTTTTATATACCTATTTATTTGTTTTTATATTTATAATTAAGTGAACTTAAGTAAATGCTAGATAATTTACAAGATAATCTAGATACAATAAATATAACATGTCATGACATTAGCCAACTCGAACAATGTGTTTCAATAATAACTAATGACTATACATTTAAAATACTGAATTTTAATATCAGAAGCATATCATAAAACTTTACGTACCTTACGATTGCATTAAAACGTATGGCATTTGACTTGGATGTAATTGTTTTAACGGAATGTCGTATTGCAGAATCTTCTATTATCCCGGTACTTCCAGGATACATCTCGTACAGAACTCATAAAATAATCAATCAAAATAGTGGTGTAGTAGTGTACATTAAAGACGTATGGAACTCAAATGTTACAGAGCCAGTCTTTAACAAAGCAGGCTGTTTAATAATAGAAATACCCGATACAATAACCATTTTCTGTATATATCGCTTACCTTCATTTAGAAGCACGGAAAGTTTCCTAATAGATCTAGAATCACATTTGGATCACTACAAAAATAAACCTCATTTAGTATTGACAGGAGATATTAATATTAATATTTTAAAAGGGGACAATGATACTGTAAGTTATGTCTGTCTTGCGGCAGAATACGGACTATTGCCTGCTATTTCTAAACCTACAAGATTTGAATCATGCATTGATCATATATTTGTTAAAACGATTGGAAAAACAATTGGTACTGTATGCATTTCGGATATAACAGATCACAGTATGACAATAGCTGGCTTATCATTGAATGTAAACTCACCTGAACCCCGAATAAGGGAAAAAGTTAAGATTGATTTTGATGCGATAAGTAATGAATTAGCAGTAATAGATTGGTCGGAATTACAAAATCAAACAGACGTAAATCAGGCGGTTGCTATATTTACTGATAACCTATCAAAAATAATAGATAAGCATACCAAACGCATAATTGTGAACCGTTCTAAATATAATATAAAACCTTGGATTACTCCAGGTTTAATACGGTGTATAAAACACAAAGATAAACTACATATGAAATCAAGGAAGAATCCAAATGATGAAACTTTAAACCTCACATATAAGAGATACCGCAATTTCTGTAATGAACTTCTATTTAAGTTAAAAAGGGAATATGAGAAGTGTCAATTGCAAGAAAGCCAGGGACCGCCAAAGAAATTATGGAAAGCAATAAAGGATATAATATGCAACATTACTACATCAAACAAAGAACCAACTGAGCTATTAAATATTCAAGGATCTATAAGCAAAAAGAGTCATTGGATATTTGTAATACTTATTTTTCCACAGTTAAACAAAATTTAGCACACAAAGTCTAGTGCAAAATAGTAAAATTGGAAATACAACACACTCGTTTTATATGCAACCAACTGACGCTTGCGAAATAGAAAACCTAATAACAAATCTTAAAAATGACAAAGCGCCAGAAATTGATGGACTAAGTAATACGGAAATTAAGCATATTTAGAAATTTGTCACTGAGCCACTTACAGTAATATACAACTTGAGTATTTCTACCGGTGTATTTCCAGAAGTTTGGAAGACTGCAATGGTGTATCCTGTATATAAAAAGGGCCTAAAAATCTCTCCAGATAATTATTGACCCATTTCTCTGCTGAGTGTTTTTTCCAAACTCCTTGAGAAATTGGTTAATAAAAGATTAATGCATTACTTAGAAGCATTTAATCTGCTCTCTTCAAGACAGTTTGGATTTAGGAAATGAAAATGTACCGAGGACGCTATAACCACCTTAGTTTCACATATATCTTCTTGCCTTGACAAAAACGAATGCTGTATTGGCGTATTCCTAGACTTAGCCAAGGCTTTCGATACTGTTTCCGTTCCTTTACTATGTCAAAAGCTTGAAAACGTAGGAATCAGAGGATTAGTTTTCGATTGGTTTAAAAGCTATTTGCAGAAACGGGAACAGTGCGTGAGAGTGGGAACTTATATAAGTGAAATGCAGCATGTTAACTATGGTGTACCTCAGGGGAAGTATTCTCGGTCCTACTCTCTTCATCATATACATGAACGACATACATTAGCTCAACTCAAAACATTCAGAAATAATATGTTATGCTGATGATACGGTCCTTTTATACTTTGGAAAAAGATGGGATGATACCATTTCTGTGGCGGAACGTGGGGTTTCTCAGGTTTCTCATTGGTTAAACTCAAACCTGTTAACTCTTAGATGCACAGGTTCTACTTTTTTTTAAAAAATATTTTTTTTTGTAAATACAGCTTACTGTGGACACATAAATCATCAGAAAAATAAAATAAAAAATCTAGCTACGAAGGCTTTTGAGGAAAACGGTGGTCGCTGTGCTTACCACCATGCAAGTTATTAGATTTAAAAAAAAAAACAACAAATAGTAATTTAGACGCCAATTTTATTTTAATCAACCAAAAAAAAAAAAAAAAAAAAAAAAAAAAAAAAAAAAAAAAAAAAAAACTCTATTTATTCTTATGAAATTTAGCAAAACAATTTTTGGTTGATTTTATATATAATGGAAACATACAAGTGTCACATTCCCAAGCTGTTCTTACAGGTTTTGCTTTTGTGCTGCATAAAGCGCATCGACGGGAAGTAGTGGACCTTGCTTGATGTTTTTTACCTTCTAGGCGTACCAAGTGTGGTACATAAGGTTTATGCTGTTTAATTGTAATAGGAAGACGGTCTTCTGATATTCGTTTTCTGGTTTCAGGCTCTTTCATATGTTCCAGATATATTTCTCTCCTGAAGTCTTTGTGGGTCATAATTTTTGATGTTGTATTTTCTGCTAATTTTTTATATGCAACCAGATCTTTATGCACAATGTAAGCATTGACGACGCAATAGTCCAAAAATGAAAAGAAAATTCTGTGCCACCACTTAGTAGACCGCCTATCTAAACCATAATTTCCTTTTAGTTGGTCAAACTTATCCACAAAATTCATATTTGAATTGTAGTCCTTCAGCAGTTTAAGACAAAGTATGTCTATAAAAGAGCCGTCCTTTTTTCTTCTTTGGGCTATATCAACATCATTTGGATTATGCATATTTGATAAGAAATATACTGTCTTATTATCCTTCCACTTCAAATATAATATATTCTCATTACTCATGCGCCAATCAAAATCACCTCTTTTCATTGCGTTATCTTCTTTCAATTCCGGTAAAAACTTTCTTGTATTATTTACTGTGCCACAGGCCATTATTTTTCTCAACTTAAGTTCATGTTGTAACACATAACTATTAAAATAGTTGTCGAAGTAGAACTTGTAGTTTTTACTTTGTAAATTTTGTGTGAAATCTAACACCACTCTAGCGCCCAAATTCTTTTCAACTTTTTCAGCCTTTCCGGTATAAACGTCAAATTTTAGACAATATCCTGAACTCGTACACAACATCCACACCTTATATCCCCGCTTTACAGGTTTCTTTGGCATGTACTGCTTTAGGTAACCCTGCCTTTAAATTTTATCATGCTTTCATCTATAGCCATGTTTTCGGTAGGACGATAATTTTTCTCAAATGTGTTTTCTAATGTATCTAGAAAAGGCCGAACTCTATATAGTTTGTCATAACTTGGGCTATTTCTTGCTGGAATAAACTGATTATCATTTACGTGCAAATGTGAGAGTAACCATCCAAATCGGTTTACAGGCATAAACTTTGAAATAAACGGATCATGTAGATCAGGACATGAGGACCAGTAGTCTCTATAGGCGGGCAGTTTCTTAATACCCATGGTTAGGTTTATACCTAAACCTAGTACTCATTTCTTCTCTAGTTACTGGTGCAAATGTCTTTCCCTCCTGTTGGGCATACAAATTTGTTTGATAAACAAAATAAACAAACTGTCAGGCCAAAACAATTTAAATAATGTAGCAGGTGTTGGATCCTGCAGTTGAGATATGTGAGTAGGTAAGCTTGTATCTGTATTAAATTGTTCTGGTGGAGATGCAGCACGTACCCTATGTCTCCACTTAGGTTCAGCTATATTGTCTAGATTTCGAATAGATGAAGTATCAGCAGGCTCAACTACTAAATCCCTCGTCCTTCGAGAGGATGAAACCTTACCAGGAGCTACACTGGTTTTCATCAATAGTGACTGGACTCCACTAGAAACCTCGTTCGAAACTGCTTCTTGAGCTGGTACGTCTACGATATCAGATGGGTTGGCTGACCTCTGGATATCTGACAGAGGCATGTCAAATTCGGGATCTTCGTCATCGTCAATCTCTGCAGCAACTACTATGGGAATCTGAATAGGAGACTCCTCATCTTCATCTTCAGAGATACCGGAACCTTCAGAAGGTATATCTGCCAGGATTGACATGATCAGATTCGCATCGCGTTCTAAGTTCTGTAACGAACATAAAATATTATTTTAGATGATAAAATTAATTAATAAATCAAAAGAAACAAAAAAGAAAATCAGTAAAGTTATTTAAATTTAAATAGCACTACTTGCACGGTGGTAAATATTCTAACCACGGAGTAATTGCTTCCGAAAGTGCGGGAAAATAACCTTTCTTACAATAAAAATTATTGTTACTACAGTAAAAACACAGTAAACTAATAGAAAATAGTGTAAAGTTACAATCAAACTTACCGTGATTTTCAAAAAATAACCGTAACTAAAAACACAGCAAAACAGAAAAAGTTGTCGCACACTTTACGATTCACGAATACTGCTAGCGAGCGCCACTTAGAGCACATAACTATGAATAAAAACAAAGGATAACACCTCGCCTTGTGTTTCGGAAGCTAGTTCTGCTGTTTGACGCTAGATGACGATAAAATAAAATTTTGATCCAAGTGGTAAAAAAATCGACCACCATGCCCCAAAGAGTTAACTCTTAATGCCGAGAAAACTAATTATATTTTCTTTCATAAGACCCGTTCGTCAACACCACCTACTGACAAACACATAAGATTGCATCTTTGCACGACTGAAAATAATTAGTGTAGTTGTGAAAAAATTCGAAGAGTGGAATCCATTAAATACCTGGGTATATTAAATGATCACAACCTTAACTTCAAGGCGCATATATCGGCATTGGCTGCAAGAATTCGTAACATAGTTTACATCATGAGACGGCTGAGAAACTCTGCACCCCTGAGCACATTAATGTCCATCTATTATGCCCTATGTCAGTCTCTGCTAACGTATTGTATTTCTTGCTGGGGAAGCGCTTCCAAAACATGATAAGAATTGACAGAGCTCAAAGTTCGGTCCTGAAAGTTATGCTTAACAAAAAATACAGGTATCCAACAGTTAAACTGTACAGAGATATTAAATTACTTACAGTTCGGCAGCTATTTGTTTTATGTGTGGCTGCATGTGTTCATAGAAAAATATTAAGCTCACATAAATACAGTGAGCTGATGAAAAAACGTGTGTTTCAAATGCCATTACCAAGCGTTCGCACAGCTTCCGGAAAACGATTTAGTCCATTCATTGAAACACAAATTTATAATGTTACGAGCTTGAGGTTCGTGACAATAAAAATTGCCGATAAAATTCCCGAAATTAACACTTTAATTTACTTTACACAAATTAAAACTTAAAACACTAATAATTAAACACACTAATTCACTTTATTCCGCTCCGAAGCTTCGCTTGTCTCGCCAAATCCAATACTGCCCCGATCGCATCTTTCAGCGCCTATATATACAAATTAACAATGAAGCATCCGGAATATTCAAGTAAATGCGCGCAAAGCGACGAGTGTTCCAGTGTAAATTTTCTAGAAACTTAGTTCTTCGGATGGCGCTGTCGGTTGAAAGATTTGTGATGTCATTTTCTGCAAAGCTCCCCTCGCTCTCGTTCCTGACACTAGATGGCGCTAGTGTATGACGTTGACTTATTCACGCAACACTGCCCCCTCCTAAGACATGCTCGTCCCGAGCATTATCGGTCCCATAATAAAGCGCCAAGCGATCCACATGGACCATCTGAGGAGTCCCTCTTGCGCCTTTCTGTATCCGGTAGGTCACATCGTTGATCCTGGTTACAATCTGGTACTGGGCCTTGAAGCTTAGGAGATTTCCCTTTGCTGCGGACTGGATTGTGCAACCACACTAATGAACCTTCGTTGAACCCTTTATTGTTAATTTTGCGGTCGTACCGGGTTTTCATTTTCTCAGACATTTGCTGGCCCGATTGTCTGACGTGCTCATAAATGTCATTCATTTTGTTCCGCAAGTCATTTGCATAATCGATTATACTGCGTGGGGCAAACAGGTGGTATCCCGGTGATCAGGTCTGCAGGCAGCCGTAATTCTCTTCCAAAGTTTGCGAAAGCTGGTGTCACTGCTGTACTTTCGTGAACAGAACTTCGATATGACAACAAAAACGGTTGTATGTGCTTGTCCCTATCTCGTTGCCGATTGTCTACAATTTTTGCTAGGTACCTCTCCAATGTCCGATTAAATCGTTCCACCATTCCATCAGATTGCGGGTGATAAGAAGTCGTTCTTGTTTTATGAGTACCCATAACTCGGCAAGTTTCCTGGAATATTTGAGACTCAAAATTCCTTCCTTGATCGCTGTGAATCTCTAAAGGTACTCCAAAACGACAGAAGACTTCATGATACTAGTTTATCTGCAACTGTTGAAGCTTCTTGATTTGGAATGGCGAAAACTTCTGGCCACTTTGTGAAGTAATCCATCACAACCATGAAATACTTGTTACCGCTTTCACTCTCCGGAAACGGCCCCGCCACGTCAATGGCTATTCTCTCCCATGGTGCACCAACATTGTACAACTTCAATGCAACTCTACTACGAGTCTGAGGTCCCTTTACAGCCGCACAACTTGTACATTTGCGACACCAGTCCTCGACATCGTTTCGACAGTGGACCCAATAAAACCGTTCTCGGATCTTCAGTAGAGTTCGTTTAACTCCCAGATGGCCTCCGGAACAATCATTATGGTACAGCTGTAGAACATCCGGTACTTTAGCTTTAGGGACAACCATTTGCAAATGACAGCTGTCTCCCCTAACATTTTCCCATTTACGGCACAGAACTCCATTCAGCAAACAGCAGCAAGCTGTCCCACTGGGCCCAATAGCTTTTAGTGGTCGAACTCATTGCTGAGACGTCGCTCCACTTAGGCTTGGGAGCACTGGCCTTTATCCATTCCAGAATCGGCTTGATGTCCGGATCTTCCTGCTGTGCATGTTGTAAGCTGTCCTTCCATTCGTTGCTGAGGTGGTCCGTCCTGAGCATCCTCACGGATACCTCCTCCTTACTCTCTTGCCTAGTACAATGGTTGCAATCTTCAGGACAAGGTCTTCTTGACAATGCATCTGCGTTGCCGTGAGATTTTCCGCTGCGATGTTCGATCTCAAAGTCGTATTCCTGCAGTAGTTCAATCCACCTCGCAACTTGTCCTTCTGGATTTTTAAACTGCAATAGCCATTTTAGTGCAGCATGGTCAGTTCGTAAGTGAAATTTTCGTCCCAGAAGATATTTGCTAAAATGCTGCAACGACTTTACCACAGCGAGCAATTCGCGTCTTGTGACACAATAGTTCCTTTCCGGTTTTGACAACGACTTGCTGAAGTACGCTATCACGACCTCTTGGTCACCATTCCGTTGAGACAACACACCGCCAAGTCCTATGTCACTTGCGTCTGTGTCAACTATAAATTCTTTGCTTGCATCAGGGTATCCCAAAATAGGTGTTTTGCACAGACGGTCCTTGAGCTCCTGGAATGCGATATTGCAACTTTCATCCCAGCAGAAATGTCGCTTCTCCTCGGTTAGCTTGTGCAGAGGTTTGGCTATATCTGCAAAGTTCTTCACAAATCGCCGGTAATAGGAGCACAAACCCAAAAATGCTCTAACCTGCGTCTTGTCTTTTGGAACCGGCCAATCCTTGACAGCGGCGATTTTCTCTGGATCTGTGCGGATACCTTCTTCCGATACTACAAACCCCAAAAAGTTAACTTGCCGTTGGAATAGTGAACATGTCTTCGGGCTCAACTTGAGGTTGGCACTCCGAATCTTCATGAGCACGCGTTCCAGGTTTTGAAGGTGTTCCTCAAACGTACGGCCTACGATGATGATGTCATCCAAGTAGACCAGACAGGCATCGCCAATTAGCCCGGTAAGTACAAGTTCCATCAGCCTTTCAAACGTTGCTGGAGCATTGCACAACCCAAACGGCATTACTTTAAATTGCCACAGACCCTTTCCCGTCGAGAACGCAGTTTTCTCCTTGTCCTTAGGGTCAATTTCAACTTACCAGTAGCCACTTTTTTAGATCCAGCGTGCTAAACCACTTTACTCCTGTAAGCATGTCCAGCGTGTCATCAATTCTTGGCAAGGGATAGCTGTCCTTCTTCGTAACGTCGTTCAGACGGCGGTAGTCAACACAAAACCGCATGCTGCCATCCTTCTTCTTCACCAGCACCACTGGTGAACACCATG